TGAAAACATTAAGTCTGTTTGACTTGTACAGTTCTTTTACTATCTTGTTGGAATAGAAAAAATAACAAGGTTCACCAACCTTCTTACCAACCACTGAATTGAACTTGTAGAAATTCTATTGTACTGAGGAGTTTCTTTTTTTCACTGTCAGTTTTGTAATTAACACCGGATATCCTTTTGCCGTAGAGTTTTGTGTAGAATTCCTTTCATCACCATTGTTGTAGACACTGGCCAAAAAATCCCCGTAGGACCCGCATAAACGGGTTCCGGTCTGTCTACCTCCTGGGTTTCTCTCTACCCAAAGGCAGAGAGTTCGACAGCAGCTGCGAACTGTCACAGCCTCGGTAGAACAATCTATACTACAGTTCCCTCGAGGCTTACTTTCCTACTAATTTTATAGTAAGTGGAAGAGTTCACAATAGGCTTAGAGGGAGAACAACACAACAATTAGGATGATTGTCTTGTGGAGTTCACATTCGTTTGCGCCTGTTTTTTAGGCAGTGCTATGAAAATATATCTGCTTAGATCTCCCGGCATATCCCCACTGTTATAGATGTCATTTATTATTTCCGTAATCTTGTCTATGCCAAAATCATGTAAGGTTGTCAGCATCTCTGTTACAATTCCGTCTGGCCCTGCCGCCTTGTTTCTGTTCATTTTGGTCAGTTTAGCTTCTACTTCGGTTTTTAGAATTTCAAGCCCGTTGTTAATTTTGTGTATTTCCGGTTGTTCTCTTTCGTCGTAGAAAAGTTATCTAATATATTCGTTCCTTCTATAGTATGAGCGTTCCATCCTTAGATTTTATACAGCCTGTTGACGAGTATGCCTTATGTCTTGTTAGTTCCCTTATTTTTTATGCATATCTCCTTTGTCTGTGGTACTCAATCTCTCTATTTCTGCACATGTTTTGTTTAGTCACTCTTTGCATTTCGTCCTTATTTCGTTGTGTATATTTTTGTATTCCGTTCCGTATCTTGGCAGAGTTTTCTGTTTCCTTTGCATCATGTCGAGAATCTCATCAGTGATCCATTTGTTTTTTCTTCGTCATCCATTCTCTTTTGGGATGATATCATTTGTTAATGTAACCAAAACTTCTCTAAGTGCGTCCCATTTCGAGTCTCAATTTCCACTTTGTTCTTCGTATCTTCTTTTCACAACTCTCCAGATATTTTTCCTTCCGGTTCACTCACTCAATAGTTTGTTGCATTGCAATTTGGGTAGTACGTTAGGATTGCTTACCAAGTTAAATTTAGACCCTAGATTGGAGAAGACATTTTCCTCTCCCGCTCTCTCTCTTAGTCACGGTAATTACACACATACACACACACGCACGCACAAACACACACACACTCACACACACACACACACACATATATATATATATATATATATATATATATATATATATATATTTTAATTTTAGCTTACTTCAACACAACGAAGTTCCTACATCCTTCCATGACAACCATGACTCTGCTATTCCCTGTCGCTTTACCTGCATTCTATCTCCACATCTATCTGGTCTTTTTCTATTGCGTTTGTTACTCATTAGGCACCAATCAAGCAACCTTTCACTTCATCTATTATCATTTCTTCCCGTCACCTTCAATTTTGTCGTTTAATAATTGTTATGATATCACTTATCTTGGTCCGTTCTCTGATTCATGTTGACCTTTTTCTTTCACTTTATCCCAAGCATTACTCTTTTCTGTTGGGTTTGTTTACAAGTGATTTTGTGTACAAGTGATTTTGCAAAAAATCATGTTTCGCGCCCACACTTCACAACTGGCAATAAACATTCATTATACACTTTACGTTTTAAGCATATTGGCAAGGTGTTTTTCGTGATATTTTTATTTTTGTTAAATGCTTTTCACTATATGGTCAGTCCAATTAATTTCCACTATCTTTCTTTAATTTGATCACTTGTACTAAGAGTATGTATCTATGGACCTTTTCCGATTCTAAATCTCCATTTTTTAATTTTTCGAAATGTTACATTGTGAACATTAGTTTTTTTAGTTTTTTCTGTTCCTTTTTAAGTAAATATTCAAACATTCCTTATTTACGTCATTTAGTATTTCTTGTAATTCATTCTGAAATTCAGTTATCAGTAGAATGTTTTAAGCAAATAATATAATAGATATAATATAATTGATGGTTTGATTTTTATCTGTTTAGGTTTACTCTTATCCGTACATAGTTAATTTTCTGGAAGGCATTTTCAATGGTTGCTGTAAATAGTTTAAGTGAAATCAGATCCTTTTATTTCATTGCTTTTCTAATCCGTATTTTTAACTGTATATATTACTGTTAACGTATATATTCTCAATAACTTTTATATAGATTCCGTTAGGAGTTAAAGAATGTTGCATATTTAATTTGCTGTTGACTAGCCACTTCTAAAACCTGTTCTCGTAGCTGGTTTTCATCTGTGGTATTTGTTAGTCTGTTTATAAATACTTCTGCAAATAATTCGTAAATGTTCAAAATCATTTGATACTACGATATTTGCCAAGGTTTGTTATTTTTTTTATAAAATAGCTTTCGTATTTCTAGATTGATATCGTTTTATACTGTAAATGTTTCGATTAATAATTTATGGAAGTCTTCTTTCTTCTTTCAAGATGAAGATGACATAATAACAGGTATATACCTGTTATTATGTCATCTTCACCTGGTGCTTTCTGTTTCCTATTTTGAAACAAAAATTTTATTACATCTCTTGTTACCTCAGAATCATCACATATGACTTTTACTGGTATTTTATTCCCGAAAAATACTGGCTTACATAGTACTCTGGTTATTCTTAACAACTTGTCCTTACATTAACTTTTTGCTTTCTGTCTTTCAATGCAAGCAGTTACTGTTGTTCTTTGAGGATTACAGGTCAGCTACATTTTAATTTTACCTTAACATAGTCTGTTTCTCCTTTACTTCCATCATTTTTAGTTTCGAATATTTACCTTTGCTATTTCCATTTGTTTTCCTCTCTTTTCTCTGCTCTTTCCCTAATTATCGTTGCCAATTTGCTATCAGAGTTTCTATGTCATTTCCATTATTTCTTAAAACATGAACTCGGTTCTTTATTCCTACCTAAACTTCAGTAATGTTCTCATTATGAGAGTCATGGTGTTACTTTCAATTTTAAAGTCAACTTAGACTATGTATTCTACCAGGATCTCTTCCAACTTTATCCATGATGGTTTCATTTGTAACGGGCTTTGTTAGCAAAGTTCGAAGACCATTTCATCATTGGTTCTTCATTTGATCTTTAACAAGTTTATTTATGGCCTCTTTGTTTTTAAAACAAAAACATATTCAGAATTGTCATTTTGTTTCTGTCTAAGAAGTTAACTAAATTCCCGTCTCTCTCATTTTTCTTCCCTCTTCTAAAAAGATTCTCCCGTTTGTTTTCATTGAAGTAGAAATGGTGTAACGTGTTTTCTTGCCGTCTATATCGTCATAAAACCCTTCAGTTTCCTCCTCACTAATTTTTCGAAGTTAGTATCTATATCTTTTAGAGAGCGTCTTTTTTCATAATTTGTCTACTATACAGACTAATCTGTCAGATATTCTATATAGTCATTTTCTACGTTGTCTGAAAAACGTTGTTTTTATTGAGTAAAAAGAAATTCTGATGTTTGGTTGTTGTCTCAGGTCGAAAATCTTTCTGCAACCCATTTTATTATATACCAATGGAGATCGGAATTGATTAATGCCCTCTGCATGACTTGAATATTTGCATTTATAGATTTCGTAAATGTGGTTCTGTAAACCTCTACATTTGCAATGTCGTAGTGTACAATGGAGTTTTCGCAGCTACTATTATCTTAGTGAAATTGCAAGTCTTTCAAAATTCCACTAAATATGGCATTTTCAAGTCAGGTATTTATTTGTACAAACCAAATAAAAAAATTTAAACAGCAAAATATAATGAAAATATTTTTACAATACAAATCTTGAAATGTGCTTCTAACTGAGATTTTGAGATATTTGACAATATGGATTTCATAATCATGAATTAGATCTTTTTTTTTTTCTTGATGCTTTATCAGAAGATATCCAAAATCTCAACTAACAAATGGCGCTCAACATCCACACATAATACTGAAAGAATGACAAGAGAGTAAAAGAAGCATTTTCCTGGTTGTTACAGTTTTTTAATTATAGGAATTATGAAAGAACTCTAAATAACTCCTTATACTCGAATTTCTAGAAATGCTTGAAAAAGTATTCTCAGAGAATTGTGTTAGTGATAATATGAATGGTAAGTTAGGCAAAAAGCTTGAGCACATTACAGAGAAAACACGGTGCTTAAGGGGTATGATTTTTAATTTGATGCATTATCACAACTATCACTGATTTTAAATCTTATAACACAACTCTCTCTCTACAGTAAAAATCGCATATATATATATTTTGCGGTAGAACTACGCAAATATATGAACCTCATTAATGTTTTATATATTCATTTCTGTGACAAAATAAAGAAGTCAGTATTCACTTGGAAATATTTCTATGGGTACATATTTCCTAAATATTGATATTTCATTGATTTTCATATTTGTATGTATTGTGGCATGGAGAGAAAGGTGGGTATGCATATGCACATATGTATATGCCTTTACTTTTCAATTTGTCGATTCTGAATCTTATTATTTTCTAGTTCTTATGTATTTAATCTCATTTGAATAATATTTTCCTCTTATGTGTTTATTTGTTCCCGGGCTTCTGCTTCACTGCTGAACTTTGATTCGACTTTTTTCTTTTGTTTTCTTATTGAAAACAAGATTTGCTAATCCGATCAGAATATCAAATATTTTAGCTTACCATTTTTAAAGCTCCATGACGAAAGCCAATCAAAATGCAACGATCTCATCCATCGCCATTTCTCTTTTTCCTTTTCATATTTGTGAAGTTAGATACAAAATCCGTAACTTGAATATTCCTTTGTTGTTTTGTGGAGATTTCTATTTTTCTTGTATTAGTTCTTGTAGAATATTCCTTTTGTCAATATTTCTTCACCATTTCTTCTTAGTTTTTCTCATTGTTTCTTATTTCTCGCTTCTCTATTTCCATTATAAATTCATTTTTTATTCGTCTCCCTTTTTCTATGCTTCCTTCCTTCTGCTACTTTCACTCATTCCTATTCCACCAGTTATATTCATTCATAATTCCTGCTTTTATTAAGGGATTCGGTTTGCCTTTACTGATCTTTTGTATTTATTTTTCTTTCATTCTGGTTTTTTGTTATTTTCTTTCTTCACTGGCTTGGATTATTTTAGTCATTATATGTTTATATACGTCTTTCACCTCTTTTTTCACTGTTTTCAGCCTTCATTTTTCTTGCTTGCATTTTATCTTCTCTTAACTCGTATGTCTATGTTCTTTCTTTTCCACTGATTTCTTTTCCTTCATTCATTCATTCTTTCATCGCATTAACTCTTTGTTTTCTCTTTTATTCAATTCTAAAATTCTATTTTTCTTCCAATTTCTTATGTCTGCGTCCCATTCTTTTGGTTTCTCTTTTTTTTATTCTAACAATCACCCCTTATTTTCAACTCATTCTTTAGTGACTTTACAATTTTCTTCGTTATGGTCTCAAGGCAATGCATTATCTAGAATGAAAGAAAAACATCTTACAATTCAAACACGCCCAGTGTAACTAAAATATTTCAACATTTCTCTTTCCGTCTTAATACATCAGAAAAATTTCTTATTTTATGAATTAAATTCTTTTAAAAGCGAAAAGCACTTTCTATATTAGCTGATGATTTTATAGCAACATTGAAGGGAAACAAGGACTTTGCTTTACGCAAAAAGTCAAAGCAGACAAAAAATAAAGTAAATTGCATCCTTATTTTAATGGACTTTGCTTAGAGGGAATGTTTTGTAGTTATTTCACCCAGAACAATCGCCCAGTTGGTAACTTATTCGTGTTTCTGACAAGGAGAAAACTTTGAACATGTAAATTATACACGTAATTATTCCTAATTCAAAATGCCTTGAAATTATTTTAAATGAAAAAGGTACCTAAAGTGTTAAAATTTTCATTCTAATGCATGGATTTAAAATATTAGCAGTAGAGAATACTTGTCGAAGCGGCATTTATAATATATATATATATATATATATATATATATATCGAACCAGTGAAGCAAATAGCATTACAACACGGGGAAATATCTCAGTAATTATCCCATCGAATTTGAAATTATGTGGTCCATGGTTCACTAAAAAAATAAGAAAGTTTATTTTGTTAAAGAAAAAATACTGATGAAAATTCTCCTATGGAGCATAGGGCCACTTGTCTCACTACTCTGTGTGTGACTGTAGCAAATAGGTTTTTACGAGGTGAAGATTTTAGCCCTATACCCAACCTGCTTTGAATTTATGTTTATTATTCCAAAGAGTCCAGTTTTCCTTGCTATTAATCTCTAACAGGATGAAGAAGAAAGGGATTTATAACAAGATTCGTTGTGTGAAAGAGAACAACATGGCCTCGGCTGGAATTTGAACTCGCCAATCCTACTTTATGCGCCGATAATCACTACACTACATGTACATAAAATGAAAATAGTTTTCTCAAAAAGATTTTACAAATAAAATCCAGTTTAAACAATTGCTCGAAAATATTGCTTTGTATTTATAGAATTGACCTTGAGATGAAGAGATGCGTGAACATACGCGTGTACCTTAATATTTTACTTTTCTCTGTTTAACAATTTGGATATTAAACATCGTGTATATGTTCATGTGCATACGTCAAGGGTGTGGGTGTGTTCGTTGATATATGTGTATGTGAAAAAATGATCGGTAGAGATTTTGACAGAAACCATGCTGTGGATTGAGGCAATTGTCATCAAACTCTTCATTTCTAAACAGGATCAAGGATTCACTTTGAAATATCATCTCAATATAATTATCATAAAAACGATATGAGATATAAGATCAACACTCACGGTAATCGAGTTTGGAGATAGTGAAAGTTATTTATTCTTCCCATTGAAATTCCTTTGATACTTTACGAAATAGAATTGAAAATGTTATGTTCCATTTTTACCCGAATTCCACAAAGAGTGGCAAGAGGGAAAGTTTTCCTTAGAGGCCTAACTTTCTCTCGATCAATAAACAAAGTGTTATTTTTTATTGCAATGTCTTCTTCTAAAGATGTCTTCATTCTCTGCAGCAATTGCAAATGATCTCCAGAAGTGTACAAATCGTTCTTTAAGTCTTCCACAACTTCATTAACTACTGAAGCTTCTTCCAACAGCTTTTCTTGTGCCTTGTCACGACATGCCTCAACGTTGGGCCGTCGGTAGCGCAAATCGAGACTTTTCTGATTCCGTTGAAATGTGGCGTGTTTATCATCCATTGACCTGCGAATATCTTCTATATTACCATGCATGTTGTATATCTGGTGATTGATGCAGTCCAGCTGTCCTGCCAGCTTAGTCCTTGCATTCAACGTTTCATTAATTCTTTCGTCTAATGCACTGTTTGTCGCATTCCAACATTGCAATACTTTGGTACATGTGTCATTTATCGAGGTATCAAGTAAATCTCTTAAAGTTTTCGATGGTGTGCGCTGATTCTGACATCGTTCAATAGTGGCGGTTGCAGACTCAAGCCAGGTTTTTGGATCTGTAACAGAATTCTCGATAATCTGAATATTCTTAAATCCGGAAGCTATTATAGCTGGGTCGGTTTTACTTGTTTGTAAAGCAGTGTCATCTAAATTTAGGGCGCTTTCCATATCCATAGTATCCATTTCAATTTCGTGAAGTGCACTGCGATTACTACTCTGTTGAGCCAATATCCGATCGGCTGAATCCTGAAACTTTCTTTGACACAACTTGATTGTGTCCACTTCACACACCAAGGCTTTTTCGACTACGTCATGGGCCAAATCAATCGACTGTCTCTTGTCTCTCTCGAACAGACAATGCTCACTGATGCTAAGTGTGGTTTCCAATTTTGTAAGCATTTCATCCACCAAATTATTCAGTTTAGTCAATTCTTCAATTTCATCCATCAATGCTTTTTGTTCATTGAGAATTTCGTTTTTCTTTAAGTAGACTTCCAAAATCCGATCAGAAAGTTCCTTCCTAGAATCTGCTTCGGCTTTATCGATTTTCTTCTGGTTCTCTTTGCGATTTTCTGTGCCGGTTTTCATAATTCTGGTTGCTTCGTCGCACATGGTTCCAGCTGTGCTGCCGGCACTGTTATTCCAACTCAGCCACTCACTCTGAGTGTATCGTACATGCAAAGGGTTACGCACACAGCGATATGTTTTGGGTACCAAGAAGGCATCAAGGCTATTAACCTGCGCATTGTGACCAATTAGATCAACATCGATTTTCTTGCAAACGGGTCGATTTTTGTTAGGTTTTAGCGCTGGGTCTTCCATTTTGGGCTTCCAAGAAAGAAGTTTTTCTGAGCAGAACTCTTCTGGAAATGGTGACTCCCAAATCTTAGGGTTTTTTTCTTCACTCTTAGGTGGAACTGTTTCCAGTAGACCCTGTCGGTCGATTGGTGCCGACACATAGGTAGCTCTTAATGTGTGTCCGAAATGCTGCATTCTTGGAAATATGTCGCAAAATCTCAATCTACCAGATTGATGCTCTTTCCTTTGTTCTCGTCTGCTTATTTAACATTAAATTGTATATATTCACTTCTACTGTCTTGTATGGATTCTCAGAAGCAAAATTCTTTTTGTTTTAACCGACAACAACCAGTCAAATATCCACAGCGTTTAAAATGACGCTATGGGTTTGAGACACGTGCTAATCCGAAATAGAACAAATCAACGTGCTGTGTTATATTCGTTGATGGAATACCAAAGCAAAAATCTTTTCTTTTATTCTACTTTCACATAGCAATTTTCATTGTGCTTTGTATTTTTCGATTTTACTGTTGTTATATATCAACCCGGCACAGATAAATTGATCCGAGGAAAATGACCAATATGTTTACGGTTAGTGACATTACAAAATTATCTGAACATAGTAAAGAAGTCAAGAATGATAATCGATTGATCGAAACAAGCGTAAAGTCTTTGCGGTTAAACATTTCTTTTAATCATTGTGCCATACATATGAAAGCCTCATTAAGCAGTGGACATTTGAAAGATTTATAACTGACAGCTTATTTGAGTTTCAGGGAAGGACTCATTTTTTAAATTGTGAAATAAATATGGTTAATGATTTTTTTTAAAACATTTACGCAAAAATATATATTTTTAGCATAACACGTAGAGAATGTAGTAAATATTAGTCACCTAGAATGAATATTAAACATTAAAGCATCATATCAAATGTCAACTAATGACTGTTAGGTTAGAAACGTATTGATTCAATGTCACATACAATATATATATATATATATATTAAAGACATTTTTATGTTTAACGTTCTTTTTTATAGATACAAGTATTTAAGTAAATGCTCTGTTTATAATAAACAGTATTAAATAACATTTACCAACCTGAATGTCTGAGCGTTTCATAGAAAATATTCGTCCTTTGACTTTCGAACCTGATCCTATACGGAACCGTCATTTACGCCGACGGTTCCTTACCAATCGGCCACTAAGGAGGTTCGAATAAGGTTGAATTTACTGAATTGTGGCCGATCGGTAAGAAAAAGCGTAAATGACGGTTCCGTATCAGGCCGGTAAATGTTATTTAATACTGTTTATTATAAAATTAGAGTATTTACTTAAATACTTGTATCTATAAAAAGAACGTTAAAACATAAAATGTCTTTAATAAATAAATTGTCGGACTTTGTCCATTTCTTATATATATATATATATATATATATATATATATATATATATATATATATATATATATATATAAAAAGAGAGGGAGTGCGTATGGATATTAAGATTTTTTCCCAAGAAACTATCTTCTTTTTAATACCAATCTCTCTCATGAAAATCGTCTTTCTCCATTCCTTTTTATGTCTTAACTATCATAAAATATTCTTTCACAATTAATAATTTTAAGTGTGTACAATACGATTAATAATTTGTAATATTATAATTCATCTTTAGGATTTTGGAACAAATACCTCTTCATACAATTTTGCAGGAATAAGAAAGTACTCAGCTCAATTCAGTAAAATCGATGCCTAAAACTACATTTATGTCATTACCATACTGTATTTCGGCGTGTACAAATACTTGACAACTTTTAGATGCTCAACAAATGCATACTCATTTATGAATATATACTTTAAAACAAAGTCTATAGTTCTTCGAGAGAAGTAATAGGAAAAATATGCAATGCATTTTTAAGAGAAGGAATCAAATAGTTGCATGACTTCTTAGCGCTCTCTGTTTGGTTTCCATCCTGATAATTAAGCATTTTTCCTTTGAGATCCTAACATTTTTCTCATGGAATTTGTTGCTCTATCAATTGAAATTCTAAATGATCCTAAGAGGATTTAATAGAAAAAGGGAACACAAAAGGCAACCTATTATAATGAAAATGATTCATCCATTATTTACATTATTCGAACTATTGTCCTCTTTGTTGCCATATTTATCACGTTTCGTTGTACATTCC